TTTTTTTTCGTGACAACTTGAAAAAACTCTTCGAACAAATTAATTTTCATAAATATTTAGATTAAAAATAATTTTTTAATTCAAAAGTAGCCTTTTACTTTTCAAAAAACTCGACAAATGGGCACTTAATATTTGACTTGAACTTTAAGGAAAAGTTATTGTTACTTCAGGCCACGACATACCATAACGGTGAGCCCATCATCCTTGAAAAGACCAAAAGCTCAGGTGCAGAAATTGGGACAATTAGGTACAATGTAAGCCGGTCAACAAGGAAGCAGCTGTCAAAATCAGCACCTGAACAGGGAATTTACGGCCGTGAGTCAAATGAAAATGATGCCAAATTTGGGTCACTCTTTGGGATATCAATTCTAATGGCAATACTTGGAGTTCTGTTACTTTGGGGCAAATTATGTGCCATTCTTTGCACGGCCATATGGTTTTATTGCATCGCTAGTTTTCGAGCACAACAAAGAATTGAATTCAACATGAAAAAGGTTTCATCAAAGGAGTTTGATGAATCAAATGAAAAGAAGCATAAGAAGAAAGTTGTGTTACAAGGATTTCTCGAGAGACCAAATCAACATAAGTAAATTCGACAACGTTTTGACATTTTGGTAGTGTGATTTTGGTATAAATTGTTATTTGGGTATGGTCTTTTATTTTATTTTTTTTATGTAGAATTTTATTGCTCTCAATCTTTTTCTTGTATGATGATATAGAAATATTTATACTTTCTATTTAATTACTCTTAAAAGGAGAATATATTAATTTATTTATAGTTCTTTATTTGAGAGAGATTTGCACACAAAAGGTCCTTAAAGTATGACCATATGAGCAATCGCCCGTACTTAATCCTTTTTTCGTCAGCTGTTAAACTAATTCCCGTGACAATGAATTCCAATCATGTGCAAACGTGGGTCCATTGTGGGACTTGGTTTGTCTAATTTGTGGCTTCGTAAGAACATCTCTAGTGATTGTAGATTAATGCACTAAAAAATATGTCACATTATTCCAAAATGCTTACACGATAAAGAAATATGTGAAAAATGTCTAGAACGTCTTAACTTGTGGAAGATGTGCTAAACATCCTCCACTTATTTTTTTATGATTCATCTTCATTTGCTACATCTTCCCTTGTATATATGGCCTATAATTAGTGCAATTCGTATCTCTATTGAAGATGCTCTAAACATCAAATTTGACATATGAACAACAATTTGGTTAGGTAATTTTGTTCGTTGACTGGTGTTACAAGATTTTAATTTATAAGCTAATTTTTTATTTAATCAAGTGGATAAGACCCTGTCTAATCTTTTTAAATGATTAAACTGGGTACACGCAATCAAAATAGAGTTGGTGACGGGGCTTTCTTGCAAGGAAATTTCGTTTTAAAATAATTATTTGTCTTTTTGTTACCATCTTATGTAAAACACGTATTGTCGTTTGACTATCAAGCATCTTTTGTAGTTGCGATTTTTAAGAAACAAATATGGAATAATATAAAGTAAAATTTCAATGCAATCTATTTCGTTAATCACAAATGTCCAAAGTGGATGATCTAGGTTACATTTTAAAAAGATATAACGTTGATATTCGATCCGTGAGACACATGAGTGGGATTGAACAACACAGATCATGTAGTCTAGACTAAATTGTTTTTGCACCCTCATCTACGACTTGAAATTAAACTTGGGGCTTAGAAAGAACATTTGTCAAAACCCACGACTTACTTAATCTATCGAGCTCCATTGAGTAAGAAAACCCTTGAGGCCCAGCCTAATTTGCCATGCAACCAACTTTTAACGAGCCCTGATAGTACTATCCAATTTGACACCACTAATTAATTTTGATTCACAACGTTTATCAGTCACCTGCTTTTAATGTCCATGCTCAGCTTGGTTAGTCCAAATAGGTCAATTGTATGAATTAGTTCGATTTGGCTTTAACTTTTTTATTTTTTTTTTGCTTTAATATCATTTAATTCAACATGTCAAAAACATAGTGAGATTGTTTCAAAATAATACACATTGACAATTTACCCCACAATTAACCTTGCAATCAAGATCTTCTTTATTTCAACCCTAATTTCACCTAAGGTTATGTATATACGTTATATAAAATAACCTTACAAACCAAAATAAAATATATAAAATCAAATAGGACCAATGACACACCAAACTTCAATAATTTTTCATGGAATCAAAGAATATTCGGAATCTCTGATTGGTCATGCCTTAGAAGCTTGACCTTGAGCCCATACTTCAATGTACATTGTTAATGCCATCTTTGGCCACACTGGGTGGTTTTCGATCACCACCACCTAGTAACGGTAAAGGATGGAGGCAATGGCAAATTTCATCTGGTAATAAGCAAAATCTTTGACTAAGCACAGTCGAGGGCCGCCATTAAAAGCCTTAAATTTGTAGGCAGATTCACTCATGAAGTGGTCGTTGTTTCGCCATCTCTCCGGCTTGAATTCTCGACAATCTTTGCCCCAAATTTCCCCATTCTCCCCATTGTTAGAAAAGATAATTCAATGGATCAAAATGCACACAATGAGAAGACAAGGACTAAAGAAGCAATTAACAAAGAGAAGAAGAAAAAGGTAAAATAAGGAAAATGCGACTCTCTCTTACCAGACCTTGAAGGAAGGAGAATATGGTAGTACACTACCTCCAACGGATTCACCCTTAGCACTCTAACCATCCTTGATTCCAGGGATTTCATTCATGACGTGTTTATTCACGGTTAAAGAATTTATTATATGTATTGTATGTAGTTCATCTTCCTATATATATATATATAGATGCATTAGGTCATTCTTAATTGTATCAAAAATCAATTAATAAAGCCTTCAATTTCGTCTTCACCATTGTCTATCTTCTGGTTTTTATCTTTGTATCAGAGCCAAATCCATGGCTAATATATTACCCCCTATTTCGGACTCAAGCTCCACAAACCCAGATACCACAAATCTCAACCCAACAAGTTAAATTCTAGCTCTTGGGGGTAACTTTACACCCTTTGGAATGAACTTGACTCAAGTAGCCTCTGTTAAACTTGACAGAGATAACTTCCTGCTTTGGAAAAACATTATAATGCCAATTGTGAGTGGCCATGGCTTAGAAGGGCATTTACTGGGCACTAATGAGTGTCCTGCTCAGTTTGTAGACGATCATATCACAACTGAGACTAGAATCATTGTTAGGTCATCTCCTAATTCTGAATACTCTAGGTGGATGTCTATTGACCAACTACTAATAGGATGACTACATTCCTCGATGACATCTGATATTGTGATGCATGTAATGGGATGCAATAGATCAAGTGAACTATGGAAAGCCATAAATGAAAACTATGGAATACTAAATAGGTCTAGAGTGACCTTTTTCACATCTGAATTGCAAAGAATGAGGAAATGATCCATGTCTATGGATCACTATCTCAGCACTGTCAAACAGCTTGCTGATAACCTTGAAATAGCAGGAAAGAAAATAGAGCATACTGACTTGGTAACTCAAGTCGTGGCTGGACTTGATGAGGAGTACACTCCAATCGTAGTGCAATTTAACAGCAAGGACCAGATTTCTTGGCATAAGTTATCTTCCATACTTATGACATTTGAGAGCAGATTGGAATACCTCAACCAAGTTAGAACCAACTTTGGGTCAATAAATCTCACTCAGAGGAACTTCCAGAGTATAAATTCCTACAGTGGAAGAGGAAACAGAGGTATTAGAAGCTCAAACTTCAGGGGAAGAACAAGAGGCAGATGCAAGTTTGGAAGAACCAATGAGGCAAGAAATCCTTGTCAGATATGTGGCCTGAGTAATCATACTGCTGCGTGGTGCTACAATAGATTTGATGAGAAATTTATGGGAGTGATCAGACTTCCAACTTGCATCCATCTGCTTACATTACAAGCCCAAGCTCAGTAGAGGATCAAGCATGGTAGGTTGATTCTGGGGCTAGCCATCATGTAACTACTGACAAGGACAATATTGTTGAAGCAAAAAAATATGGAGCTAAGGAAAGAATGATTGTAGGTAATGGCACTTTATTACAAATTTCACATGTTGGTTCAAAGGTTTTTGATATTGAAATTGGAAAAAGACTTGCCTTAAAGAAACTATTACATGTGCCTAAAATTAAAAAGAATATCATAAGTGTTTCCAAGCTTACATCTGATAATCATGTCTCGGTTGAATTTTACCCTAACAATTGTGTTGTGAAGGATCTATCAATAAAAACTGCTGCATGTACCTAAATTTAAAAAGAACTTTATAAGAGTTTCCAAATTAACTACCGATAATAATGTTTCAGTTGAATTTTATCCTAACATTTGTGTTGTGAAGGATCTATCAACAAGGAAGGCTTTAGTGCAGGGACAACTTAGATGAGGATTATACCAGCTGTATCTACCCTGCCATGATACAAGAAACCAGAAAACAAGTCCTATCAGTCATCATCTAAACAAATCTCAGTCCATGCTCTACACAAGTTTATCTAAATCTGCAAACTCTACTAGTAACAATGTCTTTGAATCACAAATTGAATCTGGCACAGAATACTAGGACATCATCCTACTTATGTGCTACTTCAGTTCTTGAAAACTTGTAATAAGCTCAACTTTATCAGTAATAAAAAAAATTCCTTTCTGTGAAACATGTCAGATTGGAAAATCACATGCCCTGCCATTCAAATTGTCTCTATCTCATGCTAAAATGCCACTCGATCTTGTCCACACTGATGTTTGGGGACTAGCCCCTATTGATTCTACCTCAGGATTTAAGTATTATGTTCTCTTTGTAGATGATTGTACTAGAATACCTGGATTTACCCTTTAAAGCACAAGTCTGAAGTTATTCACTGGTTTACACAGTTCAAAAATTTTGTTGAAAATCAGTTTGAAAGGAAGATAAAAACAATTCAATCAGACATGGGGAGAGAATATAAAAGCTTAGATAAGATAGCCTTCGAATCAAGGATTGAACTAAGGTATTCTTGCCCACACATTTCATCACAAAATGGAAGGGTCGAGAGGAAACACAGACATATAATTGAGATTGGGTTAACTCTGTTGTCCCAAGCACATATGCCCCTCTATTACTGGTGAGAAGCCTTCTTAACTGCAACATACCTCATAAATAGGATGCCTACTCTGACTCTTCAACACAAATCACCGTATGAACTCTTATTTAAGCACATCACTGACTATGAGTCACTTAAAGTATTCGGATGCTCCTGTTACCCTTGCCTAAGACCATATCAAAAGCATAAGTTTGACTTTCATTCCCAGAAATATGTCTATCTAGGTTCTAGTTTATCTCACAAAGGCTTCAAATGCTTAAGTCCTAGTGGTAGAATTTATATCTCCAAGCATGTCATCTTTGATGAAAACTTATTCCCATTCCAAACAGGTTTTCTCAACAAAAAATCCTCAGACAAATGTCCCCCTATCACTTCTCATATCTACCTTATGAAATTAGCTCATACAAACTACCCACTAATTTATATGATCTGAGTTCTTACAGAATAATCACAGAATCAGCTAATATAATACCCATCACAGAAAAACCTGCATAAGAGCCTCTTGCTGAAGATGAGGGTGAAAGAGTGATGGAAAATGATGAAGGATCTGATATGCAACAGATACAAGAAATTGAACAGTTTGATACTCAGCCTGAGTATTCAACACATGGAAGAGAGTTGAGAGATGAGTCTCCTATACTAGAAACAGAACAGATAACAGAACATCTTACGATAACCAGGTCTAAGGCAGGAATCTTTAAACAAAAAGTTTTTGCTGATGTTGCTACAAGCTCAATTGATGAGATAGAACCTGTGGGTGTTCATGAAGCCTTGAGAAGTGAAAAATATGAAGCACTAATAAAAAATAACACCTGGGTGTTAGTTCCTGCAGAATCTGAAATGAAGGTAATAGGCTGCAAATGGGTATATAAATTGAAGCATGATACAAATGGAGAAATTCAGAGATATAAAGCCATGTTGGTGGCAAAAGGCTTCTTGCAGACATCAGGTATTGACTATTATGAAACGTTCAGTCCAGTAGCTAAGGCACCAACCCTGAAGATTATTCTCACGCTTGCTGTTTCGAAAGGCTGGGAAATAAGGCAAGTAGATATCAATAATGCCTTTCTCGATGGTAAATTGGAGAAAACGATTTTCATGGAACAACCTCAAGGCTTTGTTGATCAAAATAAACCATCATTTGTATACAAACTCAACAAGGCCCTCTATGGGCTTAAACAAGCTCCCAGAGCCTGGCATGATACCCTGAAAGAGACATTGCTGAATTGGGAACTTATGAAATCAAAGGCTGACAACTCAGTATTCTATTAGGTAACTCAAGAGTCTGTGATATATCTACTAGTTTACGTCGATGATAGAATAATAACTGGAAGCAGTGCTACAAGGGTACAAAGGTTAATTGAAAGGTTGAATACAACATTTGCACTGAAAGATATCGGAAGTCTAAGGAAGTTTCTGGGCATTGAGTTCTATAGAGATGAAATTGGCCTACATATGTCACAAAGAAGATATGCTACTGATACTTTAAAAAAATTTGGCTTTGAAAACTTGAAATCGAGTGTCACACCAATGACAGCTGGGAAGCTCGTTGCCAAAACTGAAGGACATATTTTAGAGAATCCTACTGAGTTCAGAAGTGCTGTGGGAGCTCTCCAATATCTAACGCATGTTAGGCCTGATATGACATTTGCAGTAAATAGAATCAGCCAATATCTTCAATGCCCTACCGTTGCACACTGGAATTCATTAAAAAGATTTTCTAGGTACATCAAAGGAACGCTTGAGATAGGACTGACTATCCAAGAACACATGATCTTAACATAATTGCCTATGGTGACGCAGATTGGGCTTCATGCCCAGATGACAGAAAATCGACTGTGGGGTATTGTGTATATCTTGGTGGGAACTTAATCTCTTGGTGCTCTAAAAAGGCAACAAGTTGTGGCAAGGTCCAATACTGAGGCGGAGTATAGGACCTTAGCTCACACCACTGCAGAAATTGTGTAGATTCAGTCTCTATTACATGAACTTATCATTACTCAGATAGAGGTTCCCAGAATTTGGTGCGATAATCTAGGAGCAAGTGCTCTAGCTTCTAACCCAGTCGGCCAGTCTATCATGCACGAACCAAGCATATTGAGCTTGATTATCTGGTGTGATAACTTAGGAGCTAGTGCTCTTGCAGCAAATCCGGTTTAGCATGCACGAACCAAGCATATTGAGCTTGATATGCATTTTGTTCGTGATAGAGTATTGGCCAAACAACTCATAATCAGCTATGTTCCAACAACAGATCAAGTCGCCGACATTCTAACCAAACTGTTACTGAATTCTAGACATCTATACCCACGAAGCAAGCTTGGAGTTACAGAGATCCAGCTTGAAGGGGGTTGTTAGAAAAGATAATTCAGTGGATCAAAATGCACACAATGAGAAGACAAGGACTAAAGAAGCAATTAACAAAGAGAAGAAGAAAAACGTAAAATAAGGAAAATGCAACTCTCTCTTACAAGACCTTGAAGGAAGGAGGATATGGCAGTACACTACCTCCAATGGATTTACCCTCAGCACTCTAACCATCCTTGATTCCAGGGATTTCATTCATGGCGTGTTTACTCACGGTTAAAGAATTTATTGAATGTATTGTATGTAATTCATCTTCCTATATATATAGATGCATTAGGTCATTCTGTAATTGTACCAAAAATCAATTAATAAAGCATTCAATTTTGTCTTCACCATTGTCTATCTTCTGGTTTTTATCTCCCATTGCATAGATTGCATACACAACTTTTGTTCCCTTCTCTACCACTGTTCCATCAGGAAATTTATAATCTTCAAGCACCTACAAGACAATGTATTTTTCAATGTTCTTGTTTCCTGTGTAATGCTTTATTCATTTTTACAAGTTTCTATCCATTCTTTGATTTTTACAAATAAAAAAGAGGGAAGGTTTTTTTTTTTTTTCAAAGGAACAATAATTGCTCGTAAAAAAAAAAAAGAATGACTAAAAAAAATATTATTACAGTTGTATAAAAAAATTTACTTTTTATTTTAAAATAAAGGAAACTATTGGATATGCAACAATATATGATTTTTAGGTACATGGTTCACTCTTCATCCATATTTCTAATGGAAACTCGATGTTCAATAGAAAATTAAATTATGGTAGATTGATTGGATTTGTGCACGGAGAGCAATACCTACCTGACCAAAAAAAAAAAATGAAAAAAGTAGAAGAATCCCATACAATTCACAATAATTTAAAAGGAGTAGTATTCGCCCCCACGAGCATAACACGGTGGTAAAGTAGAAGGATTCTCTACGGAGTATCGGAGAATCAAATCTCCACGACAGTTGAAAAGCAACATTTATGTTGGAAGACAGATGTCATGGAAAATGCCGTCACTCCTCAGAATTAGTCATGCAAAGTTCGGACACCTCAGTCATAAAAAAAAAAAAGATTCAATACATTAAAAAGTAAATATATATATATATATATACATACGAGTAAATTTACATTTTTAGTATATTAGAAAGAAGAAATCACACTGATTTTAACCTCTAATGAAGGCCACTCATACCATATTTGCATAAAGCAAAAGATTAGTACAATTTTGTGAAACCTCTGAAATAATACTTTCATATCGTCAAGACTATCGTTATAACTATTTTAGAAGTCTTTGAAAGAAAATTTATAAAGTCCATAAAATTCTAAAAAGGTCCATCACTTAAAAAATAATAAAAATATTTAAAAATTCAATTAAATACATTATCTCAACATTAAATATTTAAAATAAAAATCTATCCATTACTTACAATAACTTCAACCCCTATTTGGGTCGAATTAAAATCTAATTTTAATTCAAGTCAAAGTCAAATAATTAATATTAACCACATATTTCATGGGTCCCACAACTTTTTAATCACACATTTCAAAAATTTATATCACAATCTACTAAAATTTTAATTTTAATTTCTACCAAACACCCTTTCAGTCTTAGCTAAACGTAGCATTTACGCGTCATGCTTACTGAACCTATTCAACAAAAGACCGTGGCCGGTTCCGACCCACGTGGACCTCATTTATCTCCTTTTTCCACTATTGATTATTCAATTCAAAAAGTAAGAAAAGAACCAAATTTTTTCTGTACAAGTGGCTGGACACATTTTTGAAGCCCCAAAACCCTCAATTTGATTCCCCGCAATCAAAATTCATGAACTAAAAATCAACATTTTTTGTTCATTCTCTCTCTCTCTCTCGTTTAGTTCAAATCTGTCTTCCTGAATTGAGATTTCTTTTAATTTATGCTTGTGAACTGAAATTACCTAGTTATTCGAAGTTCGGAATTCATGTATTCGAATCGATTATGTTTTTATCTGTTTAAGGGCGGCGGCAGTCAACTGAATTCTTTGTCTCATTAGTGTTTTGCTTATTGGGTTCTTGTGATTTAATGATTTTGCAATCGACTTCGAATACTATACCTCTTTGCTGTGATATTTCACAGAAAAAGCTGTTGGCTTTTTCTTCCACATATCTCCGCCCCCCTTGCAGTTTCTACTCCTGTGGTGATAATAATAGTTGCTATCATGACCATTATCGACGCAGAAACATCATAACCCGGAAAAAAAGGATAATAAAAAATGTGAGTTGGGCAATCCTCCAGGTTCAAGCTTGCATCAATGGTGAGAGTTCCCAATACCAATTCGACATAGACCCCAATAACTTTGCTGCCCGACTGGGAGCTAAAAATATAATCTTGAAGCGATTTTCAGATGATGAATTCGATTACAATTCATCCAATGCTGCTACAAGTAGTAGTGCGAATACAAATGGTAATTATTATAGTTCCAGTTTGGCAGAAGACCCCATTGTAGATAAGCTGAGAACTCAGCTGGGGGCGATAAACCCAATCCCAACTCCTCCTCAGATAAACCGCAACATTGTTGGCCTCTTTGCCTTATTCTTTTTCACAGGGGTTGTTTTCGACAAGCTATGGACCTCTCCAAAGAGGAGCAATATTATTAACAGTAAGCCTGGGAGTTGGCCACAGGTGGCTGCCAACCTGTCCATGTTTCTTGAGAAGGATTTGCAGAGGAAAGAGTCTGTCGAGTGGGTGAACATGGTGCTGGGGAAGCTATGGAAGGTCTACAGGGCTGGGATTGAGAATTGGATCATTGGCTTGCTGCAGCCAGTTATTGACAATCTCAAGAAGCCAGATTATGTGCAGAGGGTGGAGATTAAACAGTTTTCTCTGGGGGATGAGCCCTTGTCCGTTAGGAGCGTTGAGCGTCGTACTTCTCGGCGAATCAACGATTTGCAGTGAGTGTTTTCTATTGCAATGATGTTTAATTCATTTTCAAGAAAATTTCAGCTTAACATACCCTTTTTTCTTTCCTTCATAATTGGAGATTGTTAGTTTAGATAGAACATGGGATGAATTTTGCAAAGGTTATCAAGTGGACGATATACTAGACTGTAAAGTGAATGGAGACCTCTGCAAATAAATATTTGTGATGCTTGAAAATTTACTTCTGCTTTAGCATAACCTTCAAGCATGTGTATCAACTGTCTCATGTTACCATAGATGTGACTTTAACCTGTCAATTTTGAATTTCCAAAAGTTGAGATCTTCAGACTTCAAGAATGACAAATATTTATGGCTTCAGTATTTTTGTGAATACTGAATGGTGATGATTTGATGTACCTCTAAAACAAGCTCCAAAAGTACAGTGAAGCTCAAGTTTAAATGAACTAGTGAGCTATAAAGTCGTATTGAATTTTGGTATGGAAAATGTTAGATGTTAAAAGCTTTTATAACTATACCTGCAAAGACAAGGTTCATACATAGCACAAGTTTAAACCAAGAAACAGCAACAGAGGTCTAGACAACAGAGAAAGTAAGCCTCTGTTTGGCTAATTTGTAAATGATTTATATCAAACTTTATTTTCATCCACACATTTCGATAGACTCACAAGTACTATCCAGCACTCATTTCTATCTATTTATAAATAAACTATTTATATATTTTTCTCCAACGGAGGCTAAGTTTTGAATATGGTAATTGTTATAATGTTAACTGTCCAGATTTGGAAACTAGAAGCCTACGGTGTCTAGAAACCTGTATGGAGTTATGTCCGAGCAGTTTATTTTTTAATCCCATATCATGCTAAACAATAGTTCATAACTTTTCACTACAGATTTTGGTTACTTCTACTTTGTTGATTTATTAAATGCACCATTTCTCACTGCCATATATTCACAAGATTTGCATGGTCGATATTCACTGACTCATAATTCAAAATAAATAATTTGTCTTGACTTCAGAGTTGCATTTAACTTAATGATGATTTTTTTTTCTGCTATCAAGATACCAGATAGGCCTCCGTTACACTGGTGGTGCACGAATGCTTTTAATGCTGTCACTCAAATTCAGCATTCTTCCCATTGTCGTGCCAGTGGGTGTGCGAGACTTTGACATTGATGGAGAACTGTGGGTAAAATTGCGACTGATTCCATCAGAACCATGGGTCGGAGCCCTGTCCTGGGCATTTGTTTCTCTGCCGAAGATAAAATTCGAATTGTCACCATTTCGCTTATTCAATCTAATGGGTATGTAATAATTTCATATCTTGCACGATTTATTTTTCTAGAATATGACTTCAAAGTCATGAATCACTGTACAATCAATTCTGAGTAAGGGAAACTGAGTGTTTTTGCAAAAAAAGAAAAAGATGGTGTTTTGTGGGGATTAAAATTAGATTTTTAGTGGATTGTGATATAAATTTTTGAAATGTGTGGTTGAAAAGATGTGAGACTCATGAAAGATGTGGTTAATATTGATTGTTTAACTTTGACTTAAATTAAAATCAGATTTTAGGCCCAAACAGGCCCAAAATAAATTGGAAGAGCAGAATTGAGGTGCACTAGAAAGGGCTTGTCACAGAAGTTATTGAATTTGTCAATCCATGACCCCCAGGCTGGATCTATATACTTTAGTATAGTATATAGATGGTCAATTCTGCCTCTTGTAAAAATTATGGACAGGAAGTGTAACAGAGGGTTAAAACTTGAAATTTGGTAATTGACTTTCTCTAGTAATGATATAAATGAGTTAAAGATTGGGCTTTTTCACCTGTATGTTTTAATTTTTAAGAAGTCCATTAATAAAATTTTGATGTTTAACTAACCTGCCTAACCTATTGAGATTGATTATATATCATTTTAGTCAGCTTTCTTTTTGCCATATGTTTTTGTGTAATTCTAGTAATTGAAAAGGTTGATAGGATTCATTTACCTTATATGATACTAATTTTTGTTTCTTAATGTTTTCCTTTTTCATGGTTGTTTGGCAATACTCAGCAATTCCTGTCCTCTCAAAGTAAGTGAATTTTTTCCCTGGCTACTATTGAGATTTATTGGAACTTGTCCCTCAATGCTGTAACTGGATTTTTTTAAATTCTAGTTTAATTAGTCATTGATATTGTGTAATTCATCATTATTTCTAGCACATCATTTTTCTAAATTACGTTTTGATAGTACATATAATTATCATATCTTTATTTTAGTTTAACTTAATTGCTCACTTTATAGGATGAAATTGTAAAATTATCGGAACTTGCTGCTATAATTCCGAAACACGAATACCTTATACTTGATTTTCTGTACTTTCTGTCAGCTGTTCGCAGTTTCTGTAATGCAGATTTGTCTATTTTACTTTTAATGTTTCTCTAATTATATATCAAATTTAACTCTTAATCTGAACTAAATGTTTTAGCTTTCCAGGTTTTTGACGAAACTTCTCACTGAGGATTTACCTCGGCTATTTGTGCGCCCAAATAAGATTGTTCTAGATTTTCAGAAGGGAAAAGCTGCTGGACCTATTCCAAGTGGTTTAAGATCTGGAGAAATCCAAGAGGGAAATAAGGACTTTGCCGCAGAATTGTCGGTTAATCTTCTAGATGCACGGAAACTCACCTATATTTTCTATGGTATGAATTTTCCTCTACATTGTGGCTTCTAAATATCATATTTGTGTACCCACTTTGAGTGGAACATTTCTTAGTTCGTTGTAAGTTGGGATTAGCTTTTCTACAAGTGCCGCTTTCTGATTCCCTTAAATGTTCTTTGCTCCTTGCATAGTAATAAAATACTGTTTCCGTATGACAATGGCTATCGTTCCTTGTTCAGGCAAAACGGATCCATATGTTGTTCTGAGATTGGGAGATCAAGTAATACGCAGTAAAAGGAACAGCCAAACTACTGTCATTGGACCTCCTGGTGAGCCAATCTGGGATCAGGTGAGCTCTTTTTCTACATCCAATAATCTGCTGAGTCTACAGTGCTCATAAAGAACAGTTCTATTAATATGTGTAATATTATAGTCAGAAGTTACACGTGCTGCCAACGATAATGCACTTTTCCCTTTTCACAGGATTTTCACATGTTAGTTGCTAACCCTGGGAAAGAAAAATTATACATTGAAGTAAAGGATTCTCTTGGATTTGCGAATTTTACGGTCGGTACTGCCGAGGTAAGATGCCTTAAATTTGCAAATACTACCACTTATCTTTTCATGGCTTATATGACAATCAGACTGTGATCCTTCCTAGCAGTTCTGTTGGTTCTTTTATATGAAGTATACAAATTGCAACTTGTTGATATGGAAAAACATATCACCTCTGTTTCGAAACTAATATCTTACTTTTTACTCGGCCCAAATATTTAGGTAGTGTTCAAAGAGAAATATGGCCTGAAGAGAAGTCAAGATTTGTCTTTAATTCTTAAGTTATATGAAAGGCAAAGAGATAAGGACTTACAACTAAACCGAAAAGACAAGGACTTGTACAGTATCTTGATGCGAACCTATAATCTTAGGGTCCGTATGATTGCAAGGATGGAAAATGGATGGAAAGAAAATGAATTACAGGGAAAGTAATTGTCTAGAAATTGTTTTGCAGAGAATTGAAAATTAAGTGTGTTTGATTGGTATAATTTTCCACCTGAAAAATTTTTAAATTTTGTGTTCGTTTGGTCTTTGTTTGCATTAAAATTGTCCATTAAAGTGATAATTTTTTCCACACTTGGTTATAAAATTTGTTTCCANAAAATAAAAAGGTGGAATTCCATTTTCCCACCAAAATGGTGGGAAAAGCAATTCCACAAAAACCAAGCAAATGTGCACGTGTGGGCAAATGTGGGAAAAGGTTTTGCCAAGAAAATATTGTGCATCAAACAAGCCAAAAGGTAGGAAATGGAAAATCAATTCTTAGTTCCATGGAAAAGAATGGTAATCAAACATAGCCTTAGAGAATTCTCCAGTATTACCGGCACCACATCTTGCTCTCATGACTTGCTCCATCATGCTCATCCATAACGATATGGATTTGTTTTATAGATATTCTTTTTCTCGGTGAACTTTCACTATAGCATTTCCCTAAGTAAGTTGCCCTATCATGGGCTTTCTGGCATCTTTTTACTCTGAGATATAATGAAATAATTTCATCAACCATATAATATCCACATCGCCCAAACACTTCTGGTACTTTGGTAGGAATTGCATGTGGACCAATTGTATTTCTCGTGTTCATCCTCTTCATAACCTCCCTCACTCACAGAAGCTGAATTCTTCTTGTAATCAACACTATCAAATAATTTGTTGAAACTATTACTCCATTTTCTGTGATCTCATCACCAAGACACCGAAATTTTTGGTGTTTCATCTTTAATACACTTGGAACTACACTTTAGAGCTTCAAAATTCCATTTCTGGGACATTTTCTTGAGATTTAGCCCCTGTTTGGTAGGGATTAAAATCACATTTTTAGTATATTTTGATAAAAATTTGATGAAATGTGTGGTAGAAAAGTTGTGGGTCCCATGAAATATTTAGTCCAAATTAATTGTTGACTTTGATTTAGATTAAAACCTATATTCTAATCCCTACCAAACAAGGGCTTAGTATTCTAGAGGGGAAAAGAGCTTTCTTTTTTTTTTTACTTTTAGAATATATTTTCAATTGCAAAATATTATGTCAACAAATAATGTCATACCGCTTGTAATGGTTTTCATTTTTTTTTTTTCTTTTCTGTTATTGTGTTTGCTTGGCTTATTTCTCCACATTGGTTAATCTTTTTGAAGAACATGTTACTTTTTTGCTAGACTATGTGAGCATTATGAAACTGACCTTGTCAAGAAGCCACAAAAGGATATATTGACTTAAAAAAGTTCATGTCCAACCTCCTGATTAAGTACTGATTCCAGGTTGAACTTGGATCTTTGAAAGATACTGTTCCAACAGACAAGATTGTGGTACTTCGAGGAGGGTGGTCCCTGTTTGGAAATGGAATTGCTGGAGAAATCTTACTGCGATTGACATATAAAGCATATGTGGAGGACGAAGAAGATGAAAGAACTGAAAAAAGTTATAGAGATACAGATGCTTCAGATGATGAGCTTTCTTATGAATCAGATACTTCAACATCTGAGCAGATTGGGAAGGAATACTCAATTGGAACAGATGCAGAATCTTTCGTGGATGTTCTAGCAGCTTCACTTGTAAGTGAGGAATTCAGAGGGATAGTGACTTCAGAAACAGTAAATACTAAGTCTCCAGATGCCGGTGCAGATACGGAGACTACACCAATATTGACTGCTGGATCCAACCAGGAAGTTTCAGAAACTGATTCTGGTAATTCGAGAGGTATTTTTATGATTTTCCAAACATATACTAAGTAATTATAATTTAATTGAACTCTTCAAGTCTTTCTTCTTTATTCAGAGTGCCACTAAAGATACCTCGATATGCAGGATCGACCTTATTTTGGCTTGCCGTGATTACTAGTATCTCAGTCCTTACAGCTATAAATATGGGTGTATCTGGTTTATTTAATCCTTGATGCGATGTCGGTCACATGAAATTGCTAAAGAGGTACCATTACAATTCTACTTCAGTAGATTATTAAATCCTGATATTTCTTTTGGGTGTCATGCCTGCGGTGAATCATATTTAAATTGTTTCCTTCACTTGTTATTCTTTGCGGGTAAGTTGCTAATGATTCACGCGCATTCCTGAACCAAGTCTACACAATTCTACATTTTGATCCACCAGTTATACAATAATAGGCATAAAGCTGACTATTAAATACCGATTTCAGTTAACTCGAAAGTGGGTAGTCATTAAGAGAAGCGTCCGTTGGATATTTGGTTTTGAACCATGTTTTATTTAATTGATTATTTTATGAGAAACCAGGCTTTGGTTCTAAATTTCTAATCCCATTGCTTGCTGACTATCTTTCTCCATGGCAGGATAAGGAAGATTGCATCTTGATTATCTTAAAGAGTGGCACATCATGTGGGGTTGAGTGCTAATTCTTTCCATTGGAACTCCCCAAATGACTGTGAGAGAAGGAAAATATGCAGAAACAGAAAATAACAATCCACTACATTTTCCTCACTAGAGTAATGGTTTTAGGCAGAGAAATTCAAATTTTGGTCCTCTTCATACCTACAATGGATTGCTTTATACCATAAATTAAATAGTGTACATGAAACATTATACAAGGTCTATTGATTGGCTTTCGGGAAGAAAAGAATGAAAAGTTATTTTTCTTTAGTTAATTGCTCTCAACGGGCTGCCCAAACTATTTTATGAGTAATCTCACTAAAATCGTAAAAGGTATTGAGCTCGAAGTCTTTAATCAAGTGATTTGGTTTTAATTTTGTTTTGCTAAAGATTTTAAATTCCATGCGATTTGATTTGTCAAGTCATATATAAACCATGTTTGATGCACATTATTGAGTGAAGAATGCATTTTAAATAGTGAATTGATGGAAAATATGTGGTTAAAAAATAAGGAAATTTTTTGAATTAGCATGTAATATTATTTTTAATTTTTTATTGAAGAATGTGTGGTTGAAAATGTGTTTTGAAAAAAATGAATTTTTATAAAAACGTGGATCAAACAGGATAATCATTCTTTTTGTAATTCCAAACCATTTTATAAGCTCAAAATTGTGCACCATCTGCTATTCAAATCCTGTAAACAACAGTTGGTGAAAATTAATGGCTAATTACAAATGTTTTTGAAACATGTGCATTAATGTATGCAGTGTCGGAGTCAGGATTATGGCTCAGGGCCGGAAAAATATCGAAGAATGCTCATATATACATTAATACATAAATATTAAAAAATTCAAAATTCTTACCTTTTTAAAAATCAAAATGTAGCAGGAATGGTCGCCGTGTGCCTCCGCCATTGCCAAGGGACCCGTATGTCTTGGAAGTTCATACATACTTTTCTCATGTTTATCTATATCTACACTAAATTAAAATCTCAAAATGAAAAAATGTTTATAGCCAATATCGTCCATTGAAGGTGAGCAATAATGCTACACGAATAGGGCCGACGTGGTCCTGTACGTGTAGCATAACTCGAAGGTGAATTGCCCCTTTAAATTTCACGTGATATCTGCACATAACAAGAGAATTATCCTTTGCACGTCAGATATGTCGTCTCGAAATTATTGTCTCGTTAGTCGTTCCACCAATATATTTTTGACATTTCAGAACATCATATCTTTATAACATTTGGAAAGATGTAAAGGTGTAATGCGTTGAGATCTCAAAAATTATGTTATCATCTCATTTGCTACGAAGAGGTGATGTATTAAGGTATCAAATATGTATTGATGAGACTGTCAAGGAAGCTACAACTTCGAACAACAGATTTGAACTCTACATTTCTGGATTTTTTGAAATTTTTTCACGGTCTCTTCCTCTTTTGTTCTTCCTTGTTTTTAATCATTCTGGGAAGTGTTCTTTTCCCCTTGCGGTAAAAACGAGACATGCTTTGCATAAGGTGAAGGTAAATCTTGCATAGTAAGTTGATTTTACTTGATGAGTTAAAGATCGTTAACTTTATTTTAAAAGGGAGTTGTCTACGTATTCGATTATTTTGATTTTTTTTAAAATATATGAATATCAAACGGAAGAATGCATGATAAAATCGTATCTGGCCCTCAAAAAATGCCTTAGGTTATCGGTGTATTAAATTGAATTCATTGCTTAATGTGTTTTAGTGAGGATATTGCAGGAGGGAATTCTTCTTTGTTTCATGCCAAGGATTTTAGGATTGTCCTTTATGTATCCAGAATAAGTTCTGGCTAGAAGATCATCCTTTCTTCATTAATGATGCAATTTATATGACGCTATTGAATAAAAGTATTTGCATGTCACAAAAAAATAGAGGTACTTGCGACTATTAAATTTCGACATAGACTACTAATAAAATGCTTAAACAAGTTAAAAATAAATAAATTACAATGCAAATTGGGAATAAAGTAAACCATTCATCATAAGCCCTAATGAAGATTTGAATCCAAATATAAATCAACACTTCAATTATAAAAAATGTAGCAAACTTTAAAAGACAAAGATTCCAAGTGCAAAAAATAAGAATGAAAAAAAAAAAGGAAAAAGAGAACTGATAGAAATATCCAAATTGCTGCACATAACTTTCTGATAAAAGAATCAGCCTCCTAGAAAACCATCGACCTTGTTGTTTGATTTGGCTGACAAAAACTTCATGCAAATTGGCGCATTAACACCTGCCAGTGCAAGAATTGCAGCAGGAACTCCCCATAAGGATTCACCACAAATGAGGCCTGATGCAACGGCAGGGCCAAGTTCTTTAGCCTGTTTCTTGTTCTTCCTCTCCCATATAAACAAAATCAAGCTCCCAATGCACATATCAATGGCGAAATAGGCGCCTAAATAGAACGGAATAGCCATGCACATTGGACTTGGAATAAATCTGTAGATTCTGTACTTTGTTTCAAACTTCTTCAACACCTCAATTATCAGATTGATTACTATTGCAGCAATGAACAATCCGATAGCCAGTTTCAAGCAATTCTTGGGGAGTGTAGAGAAGCCCTCGACTCCTAGAAGGGCTATTCCACGGTAAATCAAGGCGAAGGGAGCCGGGTAGGAGCCGGTGGGGTCGCCAACACTGTATGCCTTGTAGAAGAACCAGAAGACCAAAGGTGACATTAAGCACCCAATGGCTGTGCCAAAAACTTGGCTAACGAACATGGAACGTGGTGATGTAAGTGTCAAATAGCCTGTCTTGAAATCCTGCATTAAATCAGAAGCTGTTGATACAATGCTCATCATCACCCCACAGCAAGCTAGGCCCGCAAGAACCCCGCCATTATCGAGGCCGACCCAAGCACTGAAAACGAGAATAGCTACTTTTCCGTAGTTTGAGGCCAATGACCAATCTGTTAGGCCGCATCCATAGGCATTGCAGAAGGCTAGAACTGGAGCAATTACATAGGCCACCAGTATGTGATACCTGTTCGATTTATTGTGCCATTAATAAAAATAGTTTAATCTAAACTCGAATGTGTAAATATTGAAAATAAAAATATGCTAGTCCACGTAAAATATTCCAACTATACCATTTCAGCTGGTGAAAGATCTGAGGTACCACACCGATAGATAGAGCTGCCAAGAGTACGTAGCCAACAATAGCTACGTAATTTGGGATTTGGTCTTTCAAGAAATAGGTAGTTCTTGTTTTTTCATCATAGTCTCCTCCGGTGCTTTCATCCTCATTATTAGATTTCTCCGACTTGCGATTAATGAAACTTTTTGATGTGACGATGATCATGTACACAACATGGAACAGACCATCACCAAGCATCATGGCAATGGCAAGAAAAACCTGTTGAGATCAAAACAAGTCAAATAAGTAATGTAATTGGTTCATAGTACTAGACAATGCAATGTTGGACACTTCACGTTACAAGTCATTATATATATGACTTACCCTGTATCCTTGGATGCCATGAAGACTACTTGCAGATAAATCAGCACTGTACCAACTTCCTTTCTTGGATTCAATCAGAGGCCACATGATTCCCCATGAAACAATGGCTCCAATAAGTAACGAGACATTGACCATGTAAGGGCAAATCATACCAACACCAACGTATGTCGATGAGAAATCAAAATAGAACCTGAAATAGGAAGAATAGATGTATTATTTAAAACATCAATTTTGTTAGGTGATTTAAATCATCCAACATTCTTGTTACTTGACCAAAAAGAAAGAATAGGATGTTTTTTTCGTTGAAGAATCCACGGGAAAAAAATTTCACATTGAGTAGCAAGCAAATTTGTTTGCTAGAAAACTATCTTTCTTCCTCTATATATGAATGTTAAACTTAACTTTCTTGAATTGTTAGTTCATGGTAGGTAATTAAGTATATGATATAATGATACTATATCAAATCATATGTACCAACTCTACCGAGTTTTTTTTGCTAATGAGCAGTATATGGTAAAATAACAATTAAATTTCAACACGTAAATAAGATAAATTGTTAGTATAATCATACCTTTGTTTAAAGGCCTGGAGACCAAATGTGGGGAAGCTACTAAAACCACATCCATCAGCTGCTGCAAAAAACCACTCGAAACATGCGAATAGAAAACTAAAACAGAATGACTTGAAAAGCGTCATCACTTGTTTCCTGCATTCAAAGATTGTTCAGCTATAATAACATAGATTATGAAAGAAAATCAAATAAATTAAAAGTTAAATCATATATATACTTGGCCAGCTTTTCTCCTTTACGAGTGTGGAAGCTGTTGATAAGATATGCAGTTGCGGTTCCACTGGGATATGTCAATTTGTATTTCAAGATCATCATCTGATCAGAAGATTTCAAAAGAGAATTATAATTTTATTGATAAATTGATAAATATAGTAATTTTCAATATGCATTATGTACATACCTTTCTTAAAGGCACTATTGAGAATAGACCA